AACTCTACCACAAATTCAGTATCTAACAGAAAAACTTAACAGAGAAATGAACGGTATAAGAATTGCAAAACGTAGTAAACGCGGTCTCGCTAATTTTATAGGAACAATGTACAAATACTTATTCGGCACCTTAAATCAAGAAGATAAAGAAGAATTACAACAACAAATAGGTGACATCTCTAAAAATAATGTACAAGTAAGCGAACTCAACCACGTAATAGAAGCCATTAATAAAGGAATTGAATTGACCAATCATCTAAATAGTAACCTTGAAGGAAAACAAATGTTAGCCTTAGTAATTTTCTACCTACAACAATTCACTGAATACATAGAAGACATAGAACTTGGTTTGCAACTGACACGCTTAGGTATCTTTAACCCAAAACTTTTGAAACACGATTCATTAACACACGTCAATTCTGAAAAAATTCTTAATATCAAAACTTCTGCTTGGCTTAAATCTGATACGAACGAAATTCTGATAATATCCCACATTCCGAGAGAAATAATTAAAACACCAGTTTTTGAAATAATACCATACCCAGACGAAAACAGTAACATACTGACTGAAACAATACATGACAAATATTTTTTGCACAATAATCAAACTTACACAGCAAGTTCCCAAAGCTTGGTCATAAATAAATGTATAACAGGTATACTAAACCAACTCTCAACACAATGTAGATACAGTAAAACACATTCTGATTTTGAAATAAAATATGTAGAACCTAATATAATTAATAGAGAATTTACAATAGAAGGTAACAATATGATAAAAACATTTAATTGTTCCGTTCAATTAGAAGATATATTAATTAGCAACACAATGTTAGATTACACTCAAACTATCTATGTAAATAATAACGTAACAAAACTTGAACCACTAGAATACATTCACACAAAAGAAATAATCGAACAACACAATCAGACGAATAATATCTTTCAAATAATAACACTTACAGCATTAATCATACTAGTTATAATTGTTGCATTGTACTTTATTTATAAATATAAAACTATACCCCAAAAATTAATTGTAAAATTCAAAAATCAAACCCCAGAAAACGAAACTATTATACACCCTGAAACAGAAAACGTTGTACCCCAGGTAAATACCCCTGTATTGTACCCTAAAATAAGCGCCTGAGGACAGGTTTTTCTTAAGGATGGGAAAGTAACATATCCATTATTACACCCACAACTCCCCATAAGATAATTATAAGCAACATACACTAGTATAAGCTCATATACACACATTAATGTATAAACACAAAATATCTAAGTCTAAGCACAAAATGTAATCAAAGAACGAGAGCCCTTCGATTAACCTTGGACACCGCGTCATGTTCCAAAGCCACCCTTTCTCACAGATCGCAAATCATAAACATAGACATTTGTCGCCTTATCATAAACATAGACACTTGCCGCCTTTATAAACACAGACTCTCGTCCCCTAATCATTTGCATTCGACCACTTGGCGAGCCAACTGAAATAATAAACTTTCGCGATCGGCGCCTACGCCTACGCACTTGTCCCAGGATTCTCCAATTACCCCTATTCTCCAGAAGACTCTCTTCCAACAGGAAAATAGAGGTTTACAACCCAACTCTCTTAAAACTTTGCTCTTTGGCTTCCCCAAATTGCCTATAAAACAGCAAGCATGCCTCCATGCAGGAGTTCAGTACTGAGTACGTTATCAACCGCGATAACACCGCTTAAGCCAATTTAACTTTCCAATTTCGTGATAATCAAATGGCTCTAGTTCTTTCCATAAATGGAATTAATAAAAAGGTTTAATAAAATATAAAACTCAATCGTGTTTTTTTTATCAAGCCCTCGGTCTGAATTCGTAAATATATATATATTGTTAAAGGTGCAGCGGCCACCTCGCGATCCCTCCGAATGGGGTCCCGATGCTCCCGGCACCGATTGCGTCTTGGTGGGCTTCTGTCCACTCCCAATCTTGCCTGTTTCTTGAGAAGGGCATAAATTGTTGGCATAAATTAATATCTCGTAAACTATTTAAGATACGATGATAATTTTTTTTCTAGTCTTATACACGCCTTAACAATTATTTTGGCAAAGTGGGCGTGTCGTCAACGCCAACAACGCCCCCACCCCCTCAAAAAAAAAAAAAAATTTAGAAAGCTGGTCCATTCTCGCATGGCCTAAATATTGAAATATTAAGGTTATTGTCAGACGTTGGACAGTCGCACAAGCACTAGATTGACTCCTCCAGCTGGAATGAATCCGCTTGGGGAACGTTGAGGAAGTTTGTATGTGGAAGGACTATTAGTAAACAGTAGCCTAGATCTTGGTTTTAGTTTTTCATGGCATGATCACCACTACCATTTACACACAAGAATACATCGCTGAAGCACAAGGCCGAGGTCATATGGGGAACTACAACATTTGCCACAAATGGGGTCTTGGGCGTAATAATTCATTGAGTGTCAAAAAATTTGGTATATTTGACATTGTAGAAACTGTTCTCTACGTGTAGCACGATCAACTGTGACTCTGTATCTGTCAAGTTAAGTTATCTTAAGATTGATTTAGATGAATATAGAACAAATTGTCTGATTTTTAAGTTTATTATTGCTTCAATATCATTCTTGTTAATCTGAATGTTTTTTCAGTCAGCTTTTTTGGGCATTAGACATTAAGAGGTGAGCACTAAATGCTTTTTTTTGTATGTGAACTAATAATACTTTAATCGCTACTTTGAAGGTATTTTCTTCTTTAAGTTTATGATGATTGAATGGACAGCTAACTTATTGAGCTCTTTTACAGCTTTTCGAAAACTATCCAAGTCGGCTGAGGTGCGAATGTTGTAGGTTGCGGAACCAATACTCAATAGAAAATGAGCTTAAAAGATGCACTTTGCTTTATATGGCTTATGAAAGTATGGGGCAGGTCATCGTCATTAGGGGCCGTTGAGCAAATGCTAGTAGCCGCGGTTGTGCAGCCGGTGTATGTAGGAGAACAGGCATTGGAGCTGCTGATTGTTGTGAGCTTGAGACTGCATAGAGCACTTCTCAGCGTTAACGCGTACGAGAAAAAGTTTATAAAACAATTACCAAATAACGGAGAAAATTTTTTATACAGATCCTGAAAAAAAATTATTGAATATCTTAAAAACCAGCCACGAAATTACGCATGATGCCACAGGAAAAAATCCAGTACATATAATTTTGTGTGGTATTTAACCAAGTAAAAATGCGCAAAAACAAAAGAAGAAGAAGATAGATCCAATTGATAAAAACAGCGATGCACACGATCTTGAATATACTAAAATTGAAAAAGAAATGAAACGTAAAGCTAAGTTTAAAAGTCAATTCAAAAACTTTAAAAAGCTTTAGAACAAAAAAGGTCGAAAAGCGTGAAGTTCTAAATCACAACGGCAAGTTTAAGCAAGAGACAACGCTATATTCGATTTTCCTGACTATCAGATACTTGTTCCTCAGCTAGTGAAAGTGCAAAATTTCAACATTTTTTGGGCGAGTACCCGTTACCCAGCTAGTGGTAGTTTACAGTTTTTGGCATATCTATAGAAATTTTGAGAAAATGATAATAAATAATTTAAAAAATGTACAAATTTTTCAAAAGTTTATAGGATTTAGAGTGCAAACAGTTTTTTAGCAAACCGATAGAAATTTACAAGACAAATACAAAAAACTGAAAAAATATCAAAACGAGTACGTCTCTGGAAACTGCATGCTTAATCTCAACCTTATAGCGTGGATACGGATGGACTGACGGGTAAAAGATACCCATTACTCAGCTAGTGGAAGTGCGAACGAGAAGTTTCTTAATTTTCTGGAATATCGGTGGAAATCGCAAAAAATATAAATTTGTTTTAAAAATTAATATTTTTTCAAAAGTGTGGGTGTGACAGTTTTGGGCGGCTTGTAGAAATGGAAGACAGATCAGATACCCGTTACTCAGCTAGTGAAAGTGCAAACGGGAAATTTCATAATTGTCTGAAAATTGCGAGAAAAATAAATAAAATGAAAAAAAAAATTGTTTAATTTTTCAAAAGTGTGGGTGTGACAGTTTTAGGTTTGTGGGCGGCAGAGTGGGCGTGGCAAAAAGATTTTTGTCAAATCGATACAAATTTAGAAGACTAATAAAATAATGAAAAATATCACATTTTTCAAAAGTGTGTTATCCTTGTATTTATTAAACTAATCAAGGATAGGGTACCTAGTACTAGAGTACACAGAGTACTAGTATTCCCCAAAAACGTGCCCTATGGGCACTTTTGAAAATGTTAAGATAATAGCCTCGCAAGAAACTTAAAGTGATTACTAAATTATGCCGCTGTCTCATTGATACAGATTGAAGTATAAATCTAATAACCGAAAACTATTTATAATATCCAATCAAAATGTGATAAAATGCTATAGTCGAGTTCTCCGATTATCAGATATCCGATTATGGAAGTAAGTTTTTTCAAACAGTTTTGGGCGGTTTCTGGGCGGTAAAGTGGGCGTGTCAATATTTGGAAACAATCTTGCGTTGCACCTTTGTCTCTGGAAGCTGCATGCTTAATCTCAACATTCGAGCTTTTGTAGTTCTTGAGATTGAGGCGTTCATATGGACAGACGGACGGACGGACAGACCGACATGGCCAGATCGACTCGGATGTTGATCCCTGATCAAGAATATATATACTTTATATGATGGGAAAGGCTACATTCTGCCTGTTTCATACTTTTCAATGATTTTGCTTCTCAAGTTGTAAATAAAAGTTCCTAGTCCACCCGTCAATTTTCTGGTGAAGCGAGCCGAATTAGTAGATGTGATATAGCGTATTTATAAAGCTCAGTGTGAAATCGCTTGTCGTCTTAAAAGTGTAAAAGCAAAAAATGTCAAAATTTTGTATGAGTAAGGGCTATTGATTTTATCTCTTCAAAATGTTTTTGGCTCAAAGACTACCAATACTACTGATCAAGTAGGACTAGCACAGTAAGGACGCAGATTATAATCTTACCTAAATACATGGCTAAAGTCTTTATTGGCACTCTCGTTTCCTTTAAGCTGTCTTTTGACTGTATCAATTAAATTTGTTGAATTTTTTTCCTGGAATTCCTTGTAAAATTCTTTAATGTTGTCTCTCCATTGATGAAATCGACCTGCTATCCCCTGATAATCATGAAGCTTATCCATTCCTATTGGATTATATAAAGTGTGGATAAAATAATATAATAAGGATATTTGGGAATTATTTTATTTACTGTTGCAAAATAGAAGCAATTAACACTAAATTGCTAACTCTGTTACAACTCATACCTTATTTTAAGTAAAACGAACCAAGTTCGTTCAATATTGAAAGTATGTAATTCGAATTACATACAATTTCACATAATAATTTATTTGAGCATGCGCCAAGCAGTGACGTATGAAACTAAAAGTATGTATATATGAATGGCGAAATTTTCTTCAAAATAGAAGTGATTGTAGGCAGCAACCTTAGCTATAAGTTATCCTTATCAGAAGAGTTAAAGGTTTACTAAATAAGAATTTAAAGTAGAATTAATTTACTATATTCATTGAAAAGTAATTTTAGATCTGGGCTTCAGACTTGAGTTGCACCACCAATGCTAGTCGAAATAAGATATTTAATTATTACCGAAAATTTTCTTGGCGTTGTTGATTAACTGTTCTATATATGTTTACTATGTTTCGTTCTTGACTTTGTTTCGTACGTTCATTCAACCATTGTTCTCTACGATTTGTCCGCCAGGCCTTCCTGTTTGTATATCTCGCTTGACTGTAGAATTGAATTTTTGACGACTCAAGCTTGCCCTATCTAGTCTTTTTGGCATATCAGAATGTAGTCAAACACGGATAGATAAAATTGAATTAAGAAAATACATTGCAATACTAATTGACACTAATTGCAAATCAAGTAATTGCAAGTTAGGAAAAAGAATTTTTCTTAAAATTTTGGAAATGGAAAATATATATGTATTTTCTTATTCTCAGACATGGCCAATTTTGCACACAAAATTTCATTAGAATCAGTCAAGCTGACAATATTATATATTAGTGTCGACAGCAGCCAACTCCTTATGACTTCTTAACAGCAAAATCTCGAATTCCGTAGGTACTTAATACTAAACAATGTTATTTCTATGCCTATTATAATGTAAGGACGCAGCCGCAGCATCAACAGCTCTTTTTCGATTTTTCCATGCAATCATATCAGCCGGCAGCGGCGGTCGTTTTTTTTTTTGGCACTCACTATATGATTCTTGATCGCTAAGCATTGTTGTCGGCGAATTTTTTCGCAGACAAATGCCTTTGTTGTTGTCGCCGTTATTCTAAGCGCAAATTCACAAGAAATAACATTTATAACATTTCCCAAATTAATGCTGAGTTTTTATTGGAAAATTAGGCTGCCAAAAAGCTGGCAGCGCAGACATTGGTGATATTGTTGTGCAGTGGATTTAAACAAAATCTAATACAAAATAAAGGAATTTTCTGGCCTGAAGTGCAATAATAACAACAAGTCAGTGTTAATCGTCAACAGAATAAACGTTTGCAGACCGACAATTGTTAAACAGGCGATTCCGTTACTTCGGACCCAGTTTGTCTTATCTCTTTGCTTTTTGACTGTGCATAACTTCGGACAAACATACAAATAATACATATACAGTCTGTCGAAGAAGTTTGCGTCCGAATAATTAAAAATTGATTTTGTGTAAATCTAAGACGTAGTTTTACAATAATAACATGTCTATTGCTGATGTGCCTAGCTTTTCATCGGTTTCTGAAAAGATAGCGTTTCTTAAACGCAAAACCGAGGTTTATTTTGACCGGCTTAATGTTATTGCCAGTGAAGTCGTTGTGGATAAAATTGGTTTAGTCGATTTAATTGATTTAGATTTGCCCTTGCATCTAATAGACTAAATTAAAACTGCATATGGACGGCATCAAGATTTGCTAAAAGCTCTCGATTTTAATGAAATCGGCAGCCAACGCCGAGGTGAATTTTATGAAATTGCTTTATATATTGAGTTTCTTTGAGAATAGTAATTTCATCACTATGGTAATATTGCATCAGCCTATATTTGCATTGCGAATGGTTGTTGGAGTTCTGTAGTTCTGAGAACAACCGTTTTGTCTTGGCGATAGACTGCCGTCGCTGAGTGTAAAAAGAGTTAGATCAGTCGAATATTAGACTTCGTTGTGACCAGAACTCGCTGCGCAAGAAGTGAATGTGTTAAGACAACGGGATCTTCCGCACAGTGGTTTATAAAAATAAATGTGAGTTGTGTGATTAACGACCGAATATGTGTACAACAATCGCTGTTAAGGCACCGGGATCGTTTTCACTTATCAATTTAGATGAACGCAAATTTATTTTACAAATAAATACACTAAAAAAAAAAAATAATAATAATAAAAAAAAAATAAAATTAAAGTTTGTTCACAGTGATACGGTTTCCTTCGGCAAGATCAAGTAAGCATGTATGTGTTTGTGTTGCGCCGCTTGTAAAACCCTTGCGACGTCGACGCATCACTGTACAAATTATATTTAGTTTATGTAATCCCGCGAAGTCCCAGTATCTTGTCACCGAACGTTACGCTGGATGTAATTCCTAGAAGGCACGGGTAGAGTGTCTTCGTGTGTTAGATGTGATGGCGGCAGCGTCTGTTGCCGTCCAGTCGGTTTTACAGATGAACTGCAGTTAATTAGGTATGACGATTACGTTGGGGAGATTACTGCTCCCAATCACTGGCCTTGTGGCTCAGCAATTATATCAAAATAATATCAAAGTCAATTACGGCTTGTGCCGGAGCAATGTTTATTATCTGAGCGTAGGCTTCAAGATCTTTTTCAAAACTAAAACTAAAGTACAATATTCTTCTCCTAGAACCGTTGAAATGTATCACGCCACAAACTCATGGTCGGCAAGCCGACTCAGCATTTTTGTGCAGCGCGGCGCGGCACTCCAAATAGGAAGTGTTCGCTTACCGCTGCTGGCCGTTCTTTGCGTAGAGCATTGAACTCAAACTGGCGCATCAGCATTTTCGCGCAAGCTACTTAGTTGCTAGGGCAGAATTGTATTTTACTTAACTTAGCTGTGCCCGTGGTTAGCTGTGCCCAGATGTGTGCCTGTGGTGGACACCTCTGCTCCATCATCAGTTCTGATGCGGACCATTGCTTCATTGATAATTACAATGCCATCATCCACAGTTGTTATGGTGTTCAGGTGACTGGGTTGAGTATGGCAATGAGCAGTGTTTCCCGCGTGGAGTGAGCGCGCACAAGTTTCCTTTAGAGAGCGCTCACAGAAGGTGTTGTGCGTTGTTTCAATACAGCCGGTGTCCGCAAATGTGTCATCTTCGCATTCTGCCAGTGTGTCTTCTTCGAGGCGTAGTATTACTTGTTGGTGGGATACAGGGTAGATGGCAACCTTCTTACACCTGAATTTAACTCTTGGGTAGGCTATTAGTATATGTATGATATTATCGGACTGTAGGATTTTAATCTTAGAGGCTTCTAACAGACTGACTATTGGGATATCTTGTTCGAAGAAAGAATTTAGATCGGCATGATCGAGAATTGTTGGGTTTGCAATATTAGATCTGGCTAGAGTAATTGTGAGAATTAGATTTTGAATTTCAGTGCTTAATATCCTATTTCTTGCTAACAACTCTTCAAATAAGTGTGGTGTGTCAACCAAATCTCTCCTTTGAGCTTTAATAATTTTATTTATAGTGTCAGTTAGTTTGTTTATTTGTTTCTGTGTCTTTGAGTTTATTGCTATTTGCCTGGAGTTTGATTCTACAAGTTGGGCCTCTGTAATCTTAATTTTTAGTAAATCATCGGCATCAGGTGTGCCTGCAACTACCTTAAGGGCTGATCCCAGGAAATCTAAGCTTCTTGCAAACCTATGGTGCACTTTAAGTACGGACAACAGTGTTTTTAAGTGATCAGTGTCGACGTCTAGTTCCGTCTCGTCTATCATGGCCATGTACTCTGAAAGGTTGCTCGAGTGTCTGAAACAGTCTCTTTGTTCGAACACCCATACCTCCCCGTCTATAATCGGTATGTACTTGGCGTGCGAAAAGTCGGTAATCCTCGCATTGACCGTTGTTAAGATGGTGAGTAACAAGATGATGAGCCTGAAATTTATATATGATAGGGCTGTTTATTTTGCTTAAAAAATTACTTACTAGCTACTTCTAATTGGAAGGGAGCCTACCTAAGGTTGTCCTTATGGACCACCCTCCCCTTAATGAGAACCGATGTTCCCAGATCTGCTTCCACTTTTTGCTCTGAGCACAGCGGAATCAGCTTGTTGCCTAACCTTTTGTTGTTTTTTTGGTACACTTCCTCACCAACTTCGAAGGTACGGTTCTGCCTAGAGGTATTGAATCTTTTCATGTTCTCTTGTTGGGCTTTAATCAACCTACCTCTGATGTCTACGCGATGTTCGTTGGACCCTGCATGGACAATTTCAATGGGTTTCTCGAGGGTAACAGAATGTAAGGTCTTGTTATACTCTACTGTTGCCCTAAGTATGAGTTCCATTGAGTCACTAATTTTTTTGTCCAACTTTAAGCATCTGGCGATTTCTGCCAAGGTGCTATGGAAACGTTCAACCTGACCATTTGAAGAACTGTGAAGCGGAGGTGCTTTCACAATGTCAATGCCATAGTTGTTCCTGAGCATAGACGTGATAGTCTCAGAATTAAAAGCGGCTTCATTGTCGCAATAAATCGTTCTGATGTTTGGAAAAATGTTTTTAAGTTGTAGTAGAGGGCCTGTAATGTCAACTATCGTTCTTGATAGTATTGGTTGCACTATTGCAAATTTTGAAAATTTGTCAACGCAAGTTAAAAATTGTTTTTTATCGGTCGAAAATATGTCGATATGTAAAATTTCGCCGGTGTAGCTAGGGACCGGTGTTTCCCCTAGCTCTTGTCTTTTAGGATGCCTGTCGTATTTGGCTTTGGTGCAAGCTCTGCAGTTTGCAGCCACTTCCTTGGATAGGCTGCCCATTTTTGGGAAGTAGTAATCGCGAAGGATTTGTTTTACATTTTCTTGTGCTGCCCTGTGCGCACGGTTGTGTTCAGATGTTATTATCTCTAGCTGTTCGTTTCTGTCAGTTATGTCCTGGACAAAGTTTTTGCAGTAGCGGAATTGGGTATCCGGGAAAAGCAAAATTAGGTCGTGCTGAAAACTAGCTAATGTTGGTATGTCGCAGTGTATAGCGTTCACGACCCCTGGGTTTACTATCTCTTTGAGTATTTTGATGTTGCTGTTTTTATCAGTGAATGTTATTAAATGTCGCATTTTGTTCCGGAATAGCACTAAGTTCCGTTTTTGTGGGAAGTGTGCTTCTTCCAGAACAATTTGGTTTCTGAAGCAATTTAGAGGCTTGTCAGTGGCCTCGACCGTGTAGGTCAGTGATAATTCACTGTGGACGGTTGCAGCGTCCGATTGGGATTCATCGTGCAGAGCGTTGAGGCTTTCCCTCGAAAGGGCATCTGCGACAAAATTTTCTTTGCCTGGCTTGTTGATCAACATATGCTTTCCATCTTTTTATTTTTGCGTTCGTGTTTTTGTCGGCAACCGCAAACGTTAGCGGTTGATGGTCCGTGAAAATGTTAATTTCTCTTGAACTGTACAAAAAGTTTTGCACTTTGCCTAGAGCCCATACAATAGCCAACAGCTCTCTTTCGTTGGTGGCGTAGTTAAGCTCTGCCTGCTTTAGTGTGCGTGAAATCATTGTGATCGGTGTACCGTTTTGGGATAGAACTGCGCCAATGCCGCTAGCAGATGCATCTGTGGTCAGATCGAATGGTTTTTTGAAGTCTGGGTACATGAGCACGACATCTTCTGATGCCAAAATGTTACGCAGACGTTCAAATGCATCGCGTTGAGTTTCATTAAACTCAACGGAAAGTTTTTTTGACATGTGTTTGCTTACTGAGCCGTTTTCCCCTTTTAGTATGTCTGTTATTGGTCGCGCTATGGCGGCGAAGTCCTTAATAAAAACCCTATAATAGTTTGCTAAGCCTAGAAATGATCTGACACTGTAGACATTTTTTGGTTCGGGGTATTCTTGAATAGCTCTGACTTTTTGAGGGTCGGATTTTGCTCCGTCCTTGCTAACTATGAAACCTAAGTATTCTACGCTCTCTTTAAAAAAAGTAGTTTTTTCTTGGCTAACCCTCATGTTGGCATCGATCAGGCATTTCAACACAGTATCAATGTGCTGAACATGATCTTTCTCATTTTCTGAAAAAATTATGACGTCATCAACGTAGACGTAACATATTTTCCCAATCTGTTCTCGTAACACATCATCAAGTGCTCTTTGGAAAATGCTGCTTGCATTCTTCAGGCCGAACGGTAGGCGACAGAATTCATATTTACCGCCGTTCACCGAAAATGACGTCTTCTCGCGGTCGTGTTCCGCAAGGTAAATTTGATGGTACCCTGATTTTAAATCAAGGGTAGTGAAAAATTTAGCTTTCCCAAGGTTCGCTAGAATCATGGGGATGCTGGGCATTGGGTACCGGTCGGGAATGGTTTGTTCGTTCAGTTTCCTGAAATCGATGACCAATCTCTTATTTGGGTTACCAAATTCGTCCGTACCTTTTTTATCAACAAC